AGCAGAGAGACTCAGAGTGACTCCTCTTCTGCACCCACAGACCAGGTACAGAGTTAACACGCGGCAAGACAAGAAATAAAAGCAGGGCTTGCTAACAGCTTTCTAGCAGCCAGACCAGCATCTTGGGAACTGGCAGAAGTTTATGTTCCATATCAAAGACTTCAAAGAGGACTTCAGAAAAGGTTGCTGTCATTTTCTTCTAGGAGAAGGCACAAAAGTACTCGAGAGCAACTAGATAGCTGAATCCACAGAGATAAGTAGGGAGGCAACAGGCAGTGCGGTGACAGATAGCATGTACCAGAAACTAGAGGGAGGATCTAGTGCAACCCATTGCACTGCCCATCCCCCTCATCAACAGTCACAGAAGCAGTATGGATAAGCTTTTGTTTACTTATGGACCCGAGCAAAACAGTTTGGAAAATTACATTATTTCCTTACCCGCTCAAGTCAGGGCCGTCATCTACTGCACAACACTCTGACCCCACCTCCCCAAGGCTGTGCTAGTTACTGCTTTCTCAAGAGGACCTCCCCATCTTTGCGCACTTACGATCTTTACCCCGACAACCACCCCAAAGCACTACAGCAAACTTTCTGCTGCTCCAGACCCAAGCATTAATCCAACAATTTTCACCCATGCCTGCACATAACCCAGTATCCTCTGGTACTGGCAGTACAGAACTCTCACCGTAACTACAAGAGCAAGCTCATCCTTACAAACTGCTCAATCAGTTTATAGCTAGTAACTGCAATAAATCTAATTCAGACTCCTGCACGCAGAGGCAACACTTCCATAAGAAAAAAGGCACTCATCTTCCAAACAGATAACCACAATTTGACAAGCTCTCTTATTTAATAAGCCTCCACCTGTCAGCTGACTCTCCAAAACCATCAGTTCTTAACTAGAAGAGTGTCCTTTTGTTTGAAGGGACAAAAGTGAGCCCCTCTGCCCAGATATCATAAGGGATTGAGTGGGGAGAGCTACAACTCCAGCTAATTGCTCCTGTTCATGCAAGATCAGTGTTCAGTCACATGCTTTCTTTAGCCAAAAGATCAGAGAATTACTTGAATCGGGGAAGAATCTCTGAGAAGTACAGATGTCCAAAACAGGCCATGCATTCTGCAGAGTAGGACCCTGAACCTGAGCCTCTGATCCTTGAGGGCCTCAGTGGGGAAAAAGCTTCACCACTCAAAGACATCTTCAGCATCTAATGCCCAGCAAAACTGGGTCACTTCAGCACACACAAAGTTAGGAGCTGCTCTATGGATCTACTGAACCTGCTTGACGGCGGCATCCTCTTAGCTGATGCATGCCAGAAAATCAGCTCCCACTAGTTAATCTTCCACAGGTGGCCTTGCAAGTCTACCACTGTCCAAGAGTTGTTCTTCATGAGTCAAAGGCTGTGCTTTTCACACTGCAAATCAGAGCCTTCGTTTCCTTTACAACTTGGGACATTTTAGCTCAGTTTGCCGACTCAGTTTCCTCCAAGGAGAAAAAGAGGAAGCTTCTCCATTGCAGAAAGGGGTAGGACTGTAAAGATCCAAGTGTTTGGGATCTTTTCCAAGTCTCACTGCCTCAGTTAAATTAGTTTTTGAATGGTGTAATTGAGAGCCTCCAAGCAAGACAAAGGCGGTCTAGAGGCTCTGCAGATCCCACCGGAGCCCAGACTCACCAGGGCTGCCCGCGGCGGTGAC